TATTAATGACACTTTGTAATAACACTGAGGCAATAAGCATTTTTATCCCAGTTTTACAGATAGGGAATTGCAGTACAGAAGAGTGAAATAACTTGCCCAGTGTCAAAGAGGAAATCTGTAACAGAGCCCAGGACAGAATGCAAATTTCCTAAAAATCAGTCGTAAGATCATCCTTCAAATAAGTCCATGTGTGTGTGTGTGCGCGCTGTGTAGGCAGGGACACGTATTATGATTCCCTAGGCACTAGATGACACATTCAGAACACATTCCACTTAAACTTCTTTTATATACTATGATTTCATGCAAATAACTGGGTGCAACATGAGAGTTTATGATTATAAAGCAGCTAATAGAGTTTTACATTTACATTGCTATTAGGCTTCCATAGATGGAATTGATAGTGCTCTTGGTAATAAATGCTCACTAAAAAGGAGGGGGAAGATCAAATACTTTCTTAAGCAGTAAACTCATTTAAAAAGCAAGCACATTAAGGAAATCTATTAATTCATACTGATGGAGTTGAAGTAATAATGAATGAGTTTACTATTGTGATGTAATTGTTTTGAGATTTAATCTATGCATCTGAGAAACCACACTGGTTTCATAAAGCCAAGCAAATGGCAACATAATAATAGAACCCAACAATAGCAAAGTCAAAGGTTTCTTGTGCTAATTGTTTTGCTACTCCCATGCACACCTTAGAGGGATTAACTTTTAACGAGCTGCTAAATTGTAATGAAACCCCTCCAAAATGCCAGCTTTCACCATGTTACTGCATTTAAAATCAAATGTAACATAATTCAGCAGAGAAAACAAGGAGATGCATTTTTCATTTCAATAGCAGTAGCATCACAGATAAATCCTTTGGTGACTTTTTTTCAAATTTAATTTTTATTAAGGTTTATTACACTTTATAATAAATGTAGATAGCTGAAAACAATGTTTGATCTGAAGTTACCAGAATCAGTAAGATAGCAACTGGCAAAAAATGAATAACCTTCTGACACTGATCTTAACAAACTTAGGCTACCAACAAAAATAGAGAAAATACAAAAAAGTTTCATCTGTGTAACGAACACCTGAAACAGTCAAAGAAAATTCATTAGCTAACCATAGCCACTTCATATTAACTATTTAATTGGCTCTCTGTTGTTGAAGGCTTGTAATGACTGTTACATAATTATGTATTCATTTTCAAGAGACTTAGGGCTTATCTACATGAGAAAATAGCCCAGAATAAGCTATTGAAGAATTCCACCACTAGCTTCCCTTAAGGCATGGGTTCCCAAACTGTGGGGCATGAAGAAATTCTATGGGGGTCGTGAAGCAACCCAGCCTGACCCCCTCTCGCAAGTTTTGCTGCTGTTTTTGTTTTTTGGCCCTGGTCAGTTCCTTTTCATTGCTCAACAAGTTTTGCTGTTATGGCAGAGGAGTACGTGAGGGTTTAGTTTAGTTTAATCCACTTCCAAAATGCATTAAGTTAAACTACAGAAAAGTGACTCTGAAGCCTGGTTACACTAGAAAATTAAATCAGATTAACTATGTCAGTCCAGAGGGTGAAAAATCCATATCCCGAGCTAAGTAGTTAAACCAGCCTAAAGTCCCCGTATAAACAGCACTAGGTCAACAAAAGAATTCTTCCATCCACCTAGCTACTGCCTCTCAGGAAGATAGATCCTATGCAGCTGCCAAAGGCAGAATCCCTCTAATTAGCACAGGAAGAGTCTCAGTGAAGGTCTGCAGTTGCAGTGCAGCAGATGTGCCACTGTAGCCCTAGGTATAGGCTAGTCCTCGAACCTTCTCTGCACTGGAAAGTTGTAGCATATAGGAGTTATTTTAGTATAAAGGTGATACAGCTTGTTTTCATTCTGCACTGAAACAAGCTATTCTTGTATGTGATAACTTTATACTGATGTATGTGTGCCCATATTAGGGTCTGTAGGAGTATGATGACTCTCACTGACATAGTGATAGAAATGTAGCCGTGTTAGTCTGGTGTAGCTGAAGCAAAATACAGGACTATGTAGCATAGTTATCCTGCTTTTCAGAATTTTCATCCTCCAGACCAGCTTGTGGTAATTATAGATCCTGTAGCACTTTAACTAGTGATAGGAATGTTAAGCCTAATGTCCTAGATGATTTCCCACTCAAATAATTGCATTTTGCCTATCTAAAATTCTCCCTGGATATTCAGATTCATTCACTGCTTTCTTTACGCCTTTGCTGTTCTTCACTGACTGTTCTGAGTATGTTTGCTATGTGCTTCCACCACAGCAGTGGCTAAAATCCCAGTCCGGTAAAGACTGAGTTCTAACCTGATCTATACTTAAAAACTTAGGCCAACATAGCTTCAGTATTCAGGGGTGTGAACAATCTACACCCCTGAGTGCCATAACTCTTCTGAACCCCAGGTGTAAACACAGCTAACCTGCTGAAAGAATGCTTCCCTCAACCAAGCTACCATTGCTTTGGTAGATATAGTTTCTACAGATGAGAAAAACCTTCTAGTGCGTACACAAGGGGGTTACAGTAGCATAGCTATTGTACAGTAGCTACACCCTCCTACTGTAGTGCCTGCAGCGTAGATACAGCCTTATGAACACACTTAACTATATGCACTGTGGAACTCTTCACAGTGTGAAAAAAAGTGAAGCTTGTGCTTAAATCTTTGCAGGAGCCTACTCACCTTATCTATGTGATGAGTAATCCTATTGAAATGAATGGAACCACTCAAATAAGTAAGTGGCTCATAGTTTGAGAGCTTTGGATGAAAAGGTACTCCATAAATATCTGGAACTAATTATTGTTTACCATCATTACCCTGAGTCAAAGTTCCTGGAAACAAATAAGACTTCAATTTGCATGCCTTGACTCTGCTCAGACTGTAAACTTCTTGAGCTGATGAAGATCATTGTTTATAAGCCACTTGTATTGTGAGGGAGAGCAGGATCATGGTGAGAGACAAGATAAATCTTGGGAGGTCAATTAGGAATAGAATCATTACAAGAAGAATGTATTGATTTGTGAGATTAGTGAGACTGGTACATTTTTCCTCCCTAATTATACGTTACACAGGCATTGTTCACCAGTGAACTCTGAAGGCAAAAACAAACTGGACAAAATACAGTCACATTAGCTCCTGTTTTTAATGGAAACGTGATGGCCCCACTATATTAACTTACTTGAAATGAAAACTACTTCAAAATGTTGGTTTATTTCTGAGGCACAGTTTCAGAGTATCTGCTTCTTGCAGTTTTACTGCACACCTTATGATGTTTGTGATTTTTATTAAAGCCTACGCTCCTGGATAATATGAGAACTGTAGCCTTCATTTAATACAAATTAAGTTTCTAGCCTTTGTTATTGCAGAGAAAAGTTGGACAATATGAACCGTGAAAGTTCAAAAACCAGAAAACAAAATACTCCAGTATTTATTACTTTTTAAAATCATACTTTTTTTAAAGCAAATCTCTCACTCTTGGGAACTGAACTCATGAATGCTTGGGTTGGCATCAGTGTAGCTGAATAATAGGAAATCATTTTGAGAGACATACAGTAATTCCTCATTTAACACTACAGATATGTTTCAGAAAATGATCGTGTGAAGTGAAAACATGTTATGCACGGTCAATTTTCCCATTGAAAATAATGGAAAAGGTGGGGGTTGCGTTTCAAGCGGTGGTGTCTGTTGGGACCAGGACATAAGGTTGAGGGAGAAAGGGGACTGGATTACAGCAGGGAGGGGAGGTGTTTGGCTCTGGGGAAGGAAAGGGGAGGAGAGGGGAGGGGGACTGGGTTGGTAGTATGCCCCTGTGATAGGTCTGCCAGGACCCGCACTGCGTCCAGCCTGCGGGGTCGCCAGGGAACGTTGCGGTGAGTGGCAAACCCTCCGCCGCTTTGCAGGGAGGCAGGGGAAGCCCTGAGCAGCTGCCAGCGATGGGCCGGCTGGGGAAACCCAGCTGCTGGGCTGCAAGTGGGGGGCGGAGGGAGGGGGCAAGGCGTCCGGCGAGAGGGAGTCAGCGGGGAACGGCACAGCGAGCGCGAACCCTCCACCCCTTTGCAGGGAGGCAGGGGAAGCCCCACACAGCCACTGGCAATGGGCCGTCTGGGCAAATCGTGTTATTCCAGAGATGATCGTGTAATTCAAAAAACGTTCCCTAAAAAAAAAAATCGTGCTATCACGAAAATGTGGAATGCGGGCACGTGTTAAATGAGGAATTACTGTATACCCAATAAATGCAACAGGCCTTCACTGATATGGATCATAGAGGGTCTTCTGTAAAAACACTTGCACTCAGTCAAACTGGGTTAGTTAATGTGGTACAAATCCCTGTGTGTAATTATTTCAATTTTAGTCAAAGCTATTCCTTAAACTAAACCAAAATAAAGCATGGTTTAAATAGAAACAAGTATGTCTACACAGCCTTTTGCACCAGTGTAACTAAATCTATTTAAAATAAAATCTTAAATTAAACCCACAACACTCTGCATGTAGACAAATACTTATTTAAGGATATGAACATTTTCAATTTAATAAATAATACATTATTATGTCACTAAAATCCCTCCCTTAACTGTCAAGGTCCTTATGGGACTATGACGTTAAATAATTAATAACCTACCATTAAAATATTGTATATAATATTTAAAAAGCCCCAAACAAGTGAGCATGTTACAAAAAACATAAAAAAAATACAAAAACTCCAAATATCATCCCTTTACTGGTTTCTGTTTTATTTTAATTTTTCTAGGCTCTTTGATCAAAAGGCCCCAAATTTGCACTATTAGCCCTTTCATTCTGCAACTTCATGATACATAGAAGTTTTCAAGACAATCTCAGTGTGCATGTGGATTTCAGAGCACTTTGAAAATTAGCTTTTAACTGAAAGCTCAGTTTAACCTTAACTATGGTGCCCTGAGGCCATCCCATAATGGGGCCTGTATTACATTACCCCTGCGGCCTCTTGGCAAAATTGCTGAATTAATGAGAAGAGGTCAAGTGAGGAGGTGGGAGGAGAGCCTAGGAAGGTGCTAATTGTAAGTGACCTGCTCCAGGGAGCCAGAGAATACATACAGTGCCTGTGTTAAAGCTCAGAGGGATAAACATTATCCTGTGAACTGAGGTGTGCAAGGGAGTAGCTGTAGTTTGCCTCCTGTGTTTTACTAAGATCCCTTTTGTCAGAAAGGGTTCTTTAGTGTATGGACTGTGGTGTGAATTCTACAACAGAGGGATTTGAGGTGCAAGACAGAAATTCAGTGATCTGAGGAAAAAATGCTGCTTGTTAGGTAAGCTAATACTACTTTATATACATAGTGTGATTCTGGAAAAGGTCAGTGTTCATTCATTCTGGTGCAGTGTATTGACTTTTTATAAATCCTTATCTTTAAGATCCTTAAACTGCATTTTATCTGTCTCTAGCTATCTTTTTCCCTAGCACTCATCTGTGTAGTGCATAGATGTTGATTTCCCTTCCTCAAGCCTTATATTGCTCCAGAACTGTTGAGCATAATCCATTCTAGGTTTATTGCTCCTTTGATGGTGTAATTTAACTTCCTTTTAGTGAAATCAGCATTCCCTTATATGTATCATTTTCTATTCTAGGTTTCTCTTAAGCTTGGCACTATCTTTACAAGTAATCCAATCTGGAAATGGTAAGAGAATTTCTTCTCCCTCCCCTCCAATTTTGCTTTTGCTGGTTTTCTTAGATGAACAGTGATTTTGAATATTTTTTTTATCCGTAAATAGCATGCAATCGAAATACTACTCTTATCCTCACTCTGCAAACATTTACATATGTGATAATCCTAAATGCTTCTATGTGAGTAACATGAAGCATGTACCAGATTGTTTGCAAGACTGGGGTCTTCTGTCAACACTGCAAACTGAACCAGTTGCCAGTTCCACTCTAATGATGACTGAGGACAGAATCTGGCTCAGTGTTCATGTTTTAGGATATCAATGTACAGGTTTTGGGAGACATATTTAATTGTGTATGGATAGTGGGTAGTACAGTTGGCCAAGATTCCTGGTTAGGAGCCACTTGGGACTACTGTAATACATCCTACTATGAGAGTCTTTTCTCTGTCCCACCTCTCACTAGGAGCAGACAATGGGAATTGTATTGGGCCCTAAAGCAGAAAAACAAACAGGCAAAGGTATAAAAATTACTGAAAAGCTTCCAAACCACGAGGATGGAATAATAGTTTCACTATCACTTCTGAATTACATAGAAACTTTATTTATAAACCCTCTGTTGCAGCTGTTGAAGCTAAATCTATAGTTTAGCCACCACTGAGAGTTTGCTAATCTTTGCTGTTGTTGTTCTTAAAGGTTGTAAGGGGGAGAAATGTGATAACAACCCAGATGGGAAAAAGCCAAACACTTCCTTGGCTACTTTTAATGATATAAATAATCTCAATTCTGAGAGGAAAAGAAGAAATCCCTCTGAAGTTTTACCTTTCATTGGGCTTACAGATGGTAAGTGTATTCCTTGTATTGGGAGGCAATAGACTTTTCCTAGGGTTGCCAGATGGTTTCAACAAAAATACCGGACACACTTGACATTACATCACAATCTACATTATATCTTATTTAGAAAATACTGGACATTTATATTTTCTCAATTTGTTTCCTGAACAGAAAGCTCAAATACTGGACTGTCTGGTTCAAAACCGGACACCTGGCAACCCTATTCATGTCCATTGTGCACGAGCATCTCAGGAGCAACTCTTTCAGGCAGGCATCATTGCATAATAACCTAACTTCATTATGGTAAATGATCAAGGGCTTCACTTTAGTGCATCCAACAGATGGGTACATAACTCTGCCTTTCATATGCAGTGATGTTTGTATGAATAACCGGTATCCTTGTACAAAGAAATATATATGTGCATGAAAGACCATTTGTACTAAATAGAAACTGAATGTAAATTCTGCAGGAAGATATGGATTCCAAAGTAAATTCCATGGACTCATGGAGCTCTGATTATGTGGTGCATTCGTCCCATATATATTCAGCATACACCTTTGGGTGTAAATGCATGCTTTTGCACACAAGGAGTGCATAAACATATTTTTGTAGATAAACTTTGCTGCATGTAGAACTAGTTAAAAACTGGCTCTAAAACATTTAAACAATTATACAGACTCAGTTAATAGCAGCCAAGTGCCAAGAAAATGGGAATTTTTATTAACAAACGCTCAAATTCCTGATTATCTGATTAAATGATATCTTGAAACTAGAAGATTGTGCTGCACAGACTATTCAAAAAGTAGAGCTACCCACATGTGAAGTATAAACCATGTGGCCAACTCTAGTGGCTTAGAAACGAGAAGGCAAATAATTTTTAATCTCCTGACTTTTATGTCATTCATGTTTTTGGTGTCACACTTCTGATTTTTAAATACTTGGGACTTCGTAATAATATATAAATCTGACCTTAATCTGTACCTTGTTAGTGTTGTATGGCATTAGCCATCAAAAATCCTGTCACACTTGGAAAATGTAGCCCCATAGATAATCAGGAAACTCTGCTAGTCCATTTCAGTACTCCTGCTATAACTGACAGAAAGGGTTAAAAGTGATATGTCATACACCTCATTCTCACTTTTGCTGGTTGCAAACACAAGGGGAAGTTGAGAAAATTAGCTCAAATCATCTGGGAGGGGGAGGACCATAGGGTTTTGTTGCCACTTAAATCCTGATTGGTACATCATTTAAAAAAAACAAAAACTTTTGCAGCTTTTATATTTTCATCTTTGGGAGGAGGGAGAGGAAAATAGTCAAGCTTTACTGTATATATGATCTAGATTGAACTCTGTTTACAATAACTACAGGAACCTTAATTGAAGAACTGTAGGCTCCAGTGAAGTGCAGACAGCTGTCCTTCATTGCATTGCTTCGTTATGTCTACACTGCATAGGTTACAGTGGCCCAAGTGTGCCAGTAAAACCTTGCTGCTGTAAGACACACAGAAAAGCTGCTCTCTGTCACCAGGAGAGAGTTCTCCTACCGACAAAATAAAACTATAGGTTGAACCTCTTTAATCCAGCACTTTCTCTGGTCCAGCAACATCCATGGTCTGGCATGATTTTAGTTAGCCGGATGTCCATTTATCATGGGTGTGGCCAAGCTTCCCATGGTCCTATAAAGTTTTATAGCCACCAGTCCTGGCGCTCAGTGTTCTATGCTGTTATTTAGCTCTAATTTAACCCTAATGTCTTCTAAGAGCCCTGTAAGCAGTGGAATATTGGTAATGCTCCTAGACAATATTGACTTCCCATGGTTCAGCAATTCTCTGGTCTTGAGGGTGCTGAACTAGAGAGGTTCAATCTGTACCTTCCAAGAGAGGCAGGAGCTTCCTCACTAGGAGGGTCTCCTGCTGACCAAGCACTGTTCACATCAGGGGCCTAGACATGAGTGGGCAATGGCCCACCCACTTTTTATCCAGGCCCACCAGATGCTGCAGCAGGGGAATGCAGCCACGGTGCGGAGGCTTCCTTCACTCCAGCTAGGGAGCAGAGTCAGGGCTTACTCCCTCCCCATTCTTGCCCACCCACCAAAAGTCAGGGCCCTCCGAAGTGGACCTACTAGTCCATGCTGGTGCTTTTCATCATTAAAATTTCTCGTGTGGGGCAGAAGGGAGGTATTTTTTCACACCCCCATGTGGCACAATTTTAAGGATGTAAAAGTGTACTGTAGACCTAGCCTCAGTAACACAGCAGAGTCTAGTCATGCACTGTACCTAGTTTGTTTTTAAAGAAGCTGCATAAGGATATGACTTAGCATACACATTTATAAATTCTAAGATAAAGAATCAGGTTTCATGCTTCTGGGGTTGAGAAGGAATCACTTTCATGTGCAGCAGAAAACTGCTTAGGTGCACTACAGAAGCAAGCAAGACTTTGTTCTCTAAAACATCAGCAATTCTCATTACTGAACAACACATGAGTACAGTGGATCAGCGGTCTGATCTGCCTTGCAAAATCTCGTGTTTCCAGGTTAAAAATAGAGAAGCCTGCCCTGTGTGATCTAACTCTTAATTGATTTGTTCTGTGTTTGTACAAGGCCTCACACAACGGGGCCCTGGTCCGTGACTGGTGCTCTGAGGCATTACACTAATACAAATAATGAATAATTTAAGAATGCTGCACATGATGTAGCTTATTAGAGGAACAAGCTACAACGTATGCACAACAGTCAGTCATAAAAATCACATTGTACGGTTAGAACAGCTCCATGAAAATAGATATTCCCCTCTGCATGGGGTCGTGCTTGAAGTATACAAATCTGAGAGAAGAATTCAGACATAAGTGCTCTGGCATTTGAGAGCCATTGTCACTTGCATTAAATCTTGTGTGTTCTATTCTTCTGAGAAATGTCTGTTTTGGTTTGATGGTTGGTTAAGACAGCTTTTAAAAACCCCACAGATAAGAATAGGAACATCCATCCAAATATGAAAATTCTCTTCATTATGTAAATATTGAGGGAGCTGTGTTTAGAGCTATTGCATGATTCACAGAGTAAATTCTTGTAATGGTTCTTGCACTTTCCTGCCTCTTCAATGCAGAACAAATATAAAAAGCTCTTTGTTGAGGTCAGGCTTGGCTGTGCTATGCCTGTTCTATAGATAAATAGGACTTAGTCGCCACTGTTTTAACACAGAATGTTTCAGGAGCACTTTTAAAATGTGTGTTAGTGCAGAGATTATATAGCTTGAAAGCTGTGTCCTTTTGGAAACCAGAGCTATCTTCCATATTCTGTCTGTCAACCACTGGTTTTTTTTTTTTTATAGCTCACATATAAATATCTCACTAACAGATTGGAACAAGCAAATGCTTTGGAACATGTCCTCTGTTTTAAAGCAAGTTAAGTGTTTGTGAAAGGTACTAGATTAACACCCCTGGACCTGAGTGGCAAGTTACATAGGAGCCTCCAGTCCCCCACTTGCAAAGATTAGGGGAGACGTTTTATTATGCCCCATGAATGCAGGTTCCAGGGCAGCTGAGGAGGTAGTATGGGCTATTCAGTTTCCCGAGTTCATCAGTAATCTCTGAGAAGGAAGAGGTGGCACACCATGGCCTAGGATCCTCTAGGCAGGTGGGTGGGTGGGTGTTGGGGAGCCCTGGCCTTCAGTCCACCCTGGGCTCCTCTGCCTGGGGGGTGACTCGGGGCTTCTCTGGGCTGGAGAGAAAGGGGATGCTTGTGGGGGGTAAAGTGGTGGAACATGGGGCTAGCCTCCCAAAGAGGGCTCTGCCTGCTGCCCATGTCCCTGGAAAATGAGGCTAGTGGAGGCCTTCAAAGCAAGCAAAGGTAGGCTCTAAAAGGTACCATGTCTATGAAAAGGCACCTCCAGAAGTATTTTCAGATAACAGGCAAAATGCAAGGCATTTCTTCTCCAAGTTTCTTCTCCAACCACCCCCTCATCCTGAGTAAGGAAATAAAACAGTCACCCACCGAGACCCATCACTGGGCCCTAACCCCTGCACATCAACTTTCCACCTGCGGCTCATTGCCACACTTCTCCCAGCCTGATCTCTCACACAGGGGCGGATATAGGGCAGGGCGAACTGGGCGGCTGTCCCGGGCCCCGCGCTTAAAAAAGCCCTGCGCATGCGCCGTGACGCCACCGCGCATGCGCTGTGGCAAAGGGGGGGCCCGCGGAGTTATGCTGCCCGGGGCCCCGTAAAACAGTCATCTGCCCCTGCTCTCACATACACACTCACCGCAGCTCCCTAAGCATGTCCTGGAGCTGCCCTGAGGAGTCCTGTGGGCAGAGCAGGAGAAAATCAGGCTGCTGAAAATGGGACAAGGCTCCATGCAGAGAGCAGGAGGAGGTATGTTTGCACTGCCACAGGAGCTAGCTCCATAACCGTGACAAGGAGGAATAGTATTAGCCACCCCACTGCCCTCTCCAGTTTGGGCCTTGCAGCCTTCTGTTGTCATGGGGGAATAGTGGGATCCAACTTAAGAGTGACCTCAAGAGCTGGTACATGAAGGTCTCAGTGATGCTCAAGTTTGGCCTCATGGGCCCTTTGTCATAACCTGAGAGCAGCAGCAACACAAACTCTGCCTGCCAGATCGCAACACCAATCTATCTGTTTCAGCTCTGGTGCTCCCCCATCATGACAGAGGGCTGTAGGGCTAATCTTGAAAGAGCTGTTTTTCCTTCCTTGCTGTGGGGCTGGCTCTGCCCCTGCCAGTGGTACACACCACGTGTTCTGCTCATGCCTGCAGGCATCGCTGCTTCCGAATGTGAGGATAATTAAACCTTAATTGAGGTCTCTTCTTTATTTGAAAAGACTAACAAGTTCAACCAACTTTAGCAGGTTCTTCCTAGTGAACAAGTATCTTCTGCAAAGAACTGGAATCTTAAAGCCCTCAGGTGGTAACTCTTTACCAGTCAGATTCCTAGTGGCAACCTCGCCATGCATGGCAGGTCTCTGTTTAGTGGTCTGTTTCCTTGGGTAATTTTTTGTTCTTCCTTTCTACTCTCTACTTTTGACTCAAGCCAGAAAACTGAACAGAAGCTGCTGTCAGAATGGAGGAACCTGTTTCCTGGGGAGCTTTTGCATATGTCCAAAACACTTTACTGGCAGGCACTGTGAGCACGATAAGCAGATCAGGTAAGCAACAAATAGGGATTGTCTCCCAGTGAAGGAGAAAGAAGCAGCTGAGTTCTTTTTTTTTCCAGTCACACAGAGCACTCCTGTTTATACAATCTCTTTCTCCTGTAGTAGCTGCGGTGCCATTGGCCATGGAGAGTGGACTCAGGAAGGATGTTTGCTCTGCCAATGCGTTCATGGGATTCTCCACTGTTTCCCTCAAGACCAGAAAGATGGTTGTGGTAAGAAGCATCATTATTCCTTTCTAAAACACAATCCATGTGCAGTTAGTCCCATATCCATTGCATATGTTTAATGTTCACCTGTGTCATATTTAGTAAGTCCGGTATGAGAGTGATAAACACACAAGCAGTATCAGAAGTAAAAATGGTTCCAAGCCCCAGGTTTCTCCAAAGACATGAGGTTTGACTCTGAAAGGGAGTCTCTTGAGTTTAGACAAATACCAGTACTGGGAAGACAATTAAAGAGATGAGACTCCGATGTACGGTAAAGGAGAAACTTAACACTGTGCCTGGATCAAACTTAAAACTGAGGTCTGGTCCAGCTAAGGTGAGAAAACTGAGCTGAAGCACTGATGCCAGATGTCAGGAATTGATTTATCAGGGAAGTGGTACTGGGCTGTACAGTCTTTTTCCTCTGTTACAACTTCAAGTGCCAGCCCTGGTAAGTAATGGCCTATCAGTGGCCCAATAACACATTCATGATCAATAGGACTGAATGTTGGACAGTGTTAGAGTGAGCTTGCTCTCAACCCAGAGGCCAAAGATGACACTGGCACCTCTCCATTAGCCACCTGGACAGTACATTTCTCACCTATGCAAACACCGCTGCACCCCCACCAATCATGGCAGTGCTGGACTATGTTTACATTATGGGTGTCACAAAGGCACAGCTACAGCTGTAACATTGCAAGCGCTTACTATAGCGATAGAAGGGTTTTCCATCTAGATATGTAATCCATGTCCCAAGTGGCGAATGAGAAGTCAACAGAATTCTTGCATTGACCTAGCCATTTATACACTGAAGATTAGGTCAGTTTAATCATGAGAATCAAGAACTGTGAATTTTTCATACCCCTGAGCACCATAGCTATGTTGACCTAGATCAGGCCCTACTGTATGCTGCCCACTGGCAATGTAACCCTTCGTTCATCTAATCCCACTCAAATCGGATCTAGTTGACTCTGTGATTAACACAAGGACAGTTGCTGGGGTCTTGTTTACGTTTGATTTCTCTCTGTTGCTATCATCACTGGAAACCCATTGGTGGTAGCTATGATGGGACATTTTTAGAAAGACATGTGTAGGGACTTGCCTTCACTAGAGATGACCACACTATGGAGGCACACTGTCAGGATGCAATGGGAAATTCTGCACAATCTCTGACCACAGGGGGCTTGATTAGTAGATAAATAGGAGATTTTGGATGTCAACAATAGATCTAAGTTCTTGTTTAAAAAAAATTAAGATTTGGATAAATATCTGGAGTGTTGGATGAAATACTAAACCTTTCAGAGAAAGTGAATGGAATGAGAGGTGATATGCAGGAATTCCTCAAGTCCCCTAGAGTCAGAGGTTAAGGTTTTTTAACTTAGTAGATCTCTCTGAATTCAGAGGGAATTGGCATATTTCTTTTTAGATTTTATATATATTACTATATAACTGTGACCTATATTTTTACATGCATTATATACAAAATTAGACACAAAGTTGTATAACAGAGTGACAATCTTGTAACAGAAAATTGTTCTTTTCAGATTCCCTTTAATTTAAACAGAGATCTGCTAGCTTATAATTTATCTCTGTGTGTGGGACAAAACTCTCTTCATTAAATGCGACAAGGAGTCATATAGCACCTTATTAAACATTTTACCAATGTCTTTATTAAATGTTTACCATGTTAAGCCCTTAAGAAGCTAGAATCAAGGTAAATAAAAGAGGACCACATTTTGATTAACAAAATCCAATTAACCTGGAAAGATCATTAAGTGAATTAACAAATTTGGTAATCTCGTTAGAAGGATTTTTTTCCATTCAAGTTCCCTGGAGGCTTTTATTTACACAGGAATAGCCTGAAAGCGTTTAGTACTCTGGCACTTTTCTTTCACATTAAAACCAGTTTCTAGGTCTCTAGGGGGAACATTATCCACATCTACTTACTCCATATGCACTTGCAAAGAAAACATGGCAGTACTTAAAAGCAACATTCTGGCAAATATCTGGGATTTACATATGAATATACTTGAAGGCTCTCTCCCCCCAGTGCCATCAAGTCTCATCAGTCATTTCTTAAATGTTCTCTGAGTGCTGCCATTCACAACTCTTTCAGAGTTGTGAATACTCCCTTGAAGGAGTCTTCCTAGCTGGTTTTTCAGCCTGATGCCTGAAAGGAAGTACTTTTGAGCAATGAAGTACACATAACTCATACCTGTTTCTGCTTAAAGGAATTTAAATTCAGGCTTTGTTCCTTCAGGTCCTACAAAGAAAAACATGCTGGCTTGGATTCATCTTGGCATCAGTTCTGAAGGACGAAAACTTCAACAGACAACAAACACCCTTACAGTTTCATTACTGTTTCCTCTGCTTTGTCAGTTCCTCTAATGAGTAAAAGATAAGACGCAAGAAAGGTAGTGGCTTTAACAGTGAGAAAGGAATATGAAGCCTTTTGTTTTTATCTTTAATTGTATTCTGGCAAGCAGCAGGACCTGATCATCATGGAGGATGCCAACTGACTTCTTTATGCCCTTGGTGGCTAGAAAAAGAACAGTATTTTTATCCCACAACAAATCCATCTATTCCTGCCCATTAAACAGGGGCTATAAGTATGTTTCTTCTCGTACCCATGTTGAAGTGACCCTGTTAATTGCTTTCAAATACTGGCTTCTATGATGTTTAATATTGAAAGATCAGTTCTTCCAATGGAAGATGGTATATTTACATCTACTTAGGCTAAAACAGCCATAATTATATTGTAAATATTATTTTGCTTTATATAATTTTAATAATTTATTATCTCTTTTGGCTATTTCAGCTGTTGAGAAGACAGAAAACCAAGACATTAAGAAATGGTTTTCTTGTCAAATTGGACTGATTTGTTTTCCCCCTAACTAAATTAAAACTTGCAAAGAGCCATTCTAAAGAAATCATCATTTGTATTACAGTAGCTTCATACTTGAAGATGTTGTAAACGTTTTATTTTCAACCATTATCCCTACATGCAAATACACTTTATTTTTAAAAAATTAGTCCAAATGCTTAATTTTTCAGAGGGTACACATTTTTCAAAAGGGCCTGTATTGATCTGAATGAATTACTTTGAAAGATGTGTTCCCAGAAAGTGGATTATATTCAAAAGACGTTTCCTAAACACATCACTAAAGGGTATTTAGTCAAGATTATGGATGCTTATCCATGATCATTTTGTTAACTGTCCCTCCCCCACTGTAATCTGACTAGAATAATCAACAGCTCTAAATGGCATGTGAAGTTCTATTTTTTTTGTCCCCATACCTTTCCTTCCCACGTTCTCTCAATTTTATTATTTTATAAACCATCTTTTGATGTTTCATAAATCTCAATAAATCATTCCTTGTTTCTCTTCAATAAGTAGCATCCATTTGGATTAAGATTATTATGAAATAAGAGTGTTCATACATAATATTCTTGAATAGTTATTTTAAAACAGCTATTCTGGAATAACTCCATGTGCAAACAAACCCTCACTTATCAAATTATGCAATTCCTTGCACTTTAGCTGAGTGGATTTGATCTGCATAATGTCTCTGATTTTCTAAATAATAAAATATGCAAATAGAGGCTCTTAATGTCCCTTAGCGAATCAGGGCAGAGGAATTTGCATATTGACTGTCATAAATCATTATAGTCATTTTTAATACCTAAGGCCCTACATGACTCTACAAATTCTTCTGATTAAGGCTAAAGTTCTCAGAAATCCCCACACTTTTTTTCCCATCCACAGACATGTCTGTCTGCAGTCAGTTCCCTCTTATTTGGGGAAACAGAGGGACTGAAATTATTATCCCATCCTCAAGAGCTAAGGAGGAATCACACAGGAAGGCATTGCAAAGGTTGAATTTTAGATGAACCACAACGTCTGGGTGGGATCAGAGGCCAAAGATTTTGTATATGCTGGAAGAAGCTGAGCAGGGAATTGCAAGAGTAGTAGCCATTCTGGATTTAGGTGCTACAGATGGGAAAGCACAGTTTCCACCCATGCCCTTGCGTGCTTTGTGGAAGGGCAGATACAATATAGCTGGACAGGGAGCAGAGCCGCTTCTCCTCACTAGTACAGTGCCTCTGTGACACCAACAGGTAGAGCAAAACCTGTGACCTCTGGAGCTTAGTGCAGGAGCCTGTACTGCTTGAGCTAAGTCAGCTGGCTCTCAGCTAAGGCTGTAAAGCAAACTTACTCTCTTCTACTATACCACTATATGAGCCAGTACACTGTATGCAGAGTGTGTGAGTTATGCCTCTACCCTGATGATTTGTAGTGATGTAGACTTTTTGTTGTTGTTGTTGCTGCACAAAGCTCTAACACAGACAAGATCTAATAATATGTACCCCAACTTCTATTGCAAACTATGTGTGAGCTTTGAGGGAACCATTCTATTATAGCCACTGCAACCTGGTTCTACCCACCCAAACCCTCTCCAATAGCTATGAAGACCTACTTTCTAGATGCTTATCTGAAGCAAGCCTCCCCCGTCAGTTTACAATATACCCACTGAGACGTAACACCTACATGTTAAGCCATACTGATGTCTAGTTTTAACAAAAATAAAAACTACAATCTTAAAGAAGTCGTTCAGATTGTCTGTTCCTGTCATACAGTCACATTCCTACTCTTCTCAGCTGTATTTCTTTTGGCAGCACTGGGGAATTCACACATACCAGAAGTGTTAACATACAAAATGGCGTCTTTCAATTTGAATGGTATACACTGAGCCTTTGAACAAGCAGTTGTGTTCCTGCATTGTGGAACTGGCATTTCCTGACTTTTTTTAGCTTTGGCAGATAACTTCCTGACTGAATTGCTTACTTTACACTTTAAAGAGTCTCCTTTTAAACTACAGAAGTGCCAGAAGAACTCAAAATTTAGTCCCATCATATTTACATTATATGAGTGTCAAAAGGGTCAGAGACCATCCTTTACTGTATGTTTGTAACGGTGCTAGCACAGCAAGGTTCCACCAGGCTATTGTCTCTGGGCACTACCATAGTAGAAATGTTATTAGTTTGTTCATTATTTAAGACTCGTTCTTGTAAAAAGTAACTTGATTTTTTCCACATACCTTGTAAGTGCCTTGGAATCAAATGTCTCTGTGGTGGATTTTATGTTATTGTGGTCAAGGTGGAGCACACCATACGTCATGTAGAGCTGTACTTTTTCATCGGATCATCTGAATACGTAGGGTTGGGAATTAGTTTAGGGTTTTATAAATGTTTCTGGAAGTAATATAAATATTATGGATTATTTGGTATTGGTATTAATCACATTTTTCCAAAAGGATTCTTTTGCCCCCAAGCAAAGCTTCCTACCTGAGCAAGTGAGATTAAAGGATGTTGTCAAGGCTGCTTATAAATATTAAATTAAGTATCTCTTTAAATGCCTAGAGATTTCTTGGGAAATAACGTAGAGTAGGTGTTTGTAGTTCCTGATTTGTATGCATCTAATAAGACAGATACACAAATAACAAAACTTACCCCTCCGTTGAATAAATAAAAACGGCTACAATGGGTCATCATATTAAAGGTCATCTAGCCCTCTCTTCTGACAGTGGTCAATAAGCCGCTGCATTTCCTCATGCACACTTGTCTGCACTGATTATTTCACCAGAGCCAACCACCCATTAGTCCTTGTCTATAGTGGGAAGAGGAATTAACAAATTGTATGTAGCATGACCTTAGACCCTATTTTGCTCTTTGCATGAACAAGGATGGCCATATTTAAAAATACATGGGCTGAACACGATAAACACAATTTATCTCTGTCTGTATACTAAATGCTATATCACATACAGTATCATTTTAGTTTAAAAAAATTAGCTAATCTATTTTCTAATAATTCTCAGGGAGTAGCTGGGTTAGTCTGTAACTTTTTAAAAATAACAAGTAGTCCTGTGGCACCTTAGAGACTAACAAAAATATATAGTATCACGAGCTGTGGGGTTTTCCCATGAAAGCTTACAATACTATATATTTTTGTTAGTCTCTAAGGCCATGGAAACTAGAAACTATGTTAAAATAAGTAAATTTGATTTAACTCCCAATTTTACAAAATCTAAATAGCGTGTCCCCACTATGGGGAAGCCTTGAAATTAGTCTGAGGCAGGCTCCATTAATGTGGACATGCTACCTTGAGTGAGAGCCTCAGGAAGCACAGGAGAGTAATTAGTTTGAATTATTCTGGGGGGGGGGGGG